GGAGGCGGCGGAAGGGGCGGCCGCGACGAGGGGAGGCTCCCGTCGGCGGCGGACCTCGCGGACGAGGTTGCGACGCTGCGGCGCGTCGAGGAGTGGGAGGCGCGCCGTGCGGCAAGCGAGGCGAGCGCGGAGCCTCCTCCGGCCCGCTCGCACTCCTCCTCGCTGCTCGAAGAGCAGGAGGCGGAGGAGGCTATGCCTCCGCGCCTCCTTACCAGCCTGAGCGAGCCGCTGCCACCGCCGCCCGCCCGTGGCTAGAGGGGCGCGCACGGAGAGGGCGCAAAGACGGGAACTATGGAACACATACGCGCCTGTCCGCCCTGTTTATACTTTCGTACTTTGTTGTGGGGTGTCGTCGTTGCTGTAGTGCCTATGGTACAACGTACACAAGGGAACAAGGCGGTTCTCTACAGCGGTTCTCCACACACGACACCACAGCGGTTCTCGAAAAAGCACACAGGTGCGTCACAGCATCAGCTCAGCTCCAGAGTTGGCAGCGAGAGCGGCCGCACGTCCACTCTAACGCCTCACATCCCCACCCACACACCACAGATGTGCTTTGTGTTTTGTGTCACGGTCTTCATCTGCCCTTATGTGTTGCTACCTCTCTTCATTCGGGAAGGTGTACCATCGCTTGGCTTTCTTGTTTTGTCCCGGTTTTGTGCGCTCGGAGTCCGCCTTTTGTTGTGCTTTGTTGTACTTTATACCAGTTACTTGGTGTAATTCACACCTAAGGTACTGAAGGGGTACCTGTCACATTTGACCGTGAACAGATAGCGTCGTTGGTTGCTTTCCCGGACCAGTGGAGTCTGCATAGAGCCCTAGCGTCACAGTCCGCCTCCGCCGAGTAGCCGCGCGGGTAGCGCTGAATAACAAACTACTAACTACTCCTCAGCCCGCCGCCACCCTCAGCCTCACTCATCCAACGGAAACGCCCGGCTGACGCCCGGGCTATTCCTCCCCCCCCCGTCCGCAGAGCGCTCTCAACTCAGTGAGAGCCGTGCTACGCATGATGGACAGGATGGGCTACCAGGTTATCGAGACGCGGACGCTAACTAAAGCATGCAGGACGCTTACGCGGGAATACATGGCCAAGCATCGAAGCATGGTTATAAAAGCCTGCTGCTCAGAAAAGCGCAGCCCGTGCGTCGAGAGGAGATCGAGGCGCAGCTCACGCAAATTCCTGACGACGTGGCGGTGGGCCCGTGGACGTTCAAGACAGGGTCATTGATACGAAAAACCACGACGACACACACACACCAGTCGACTCGCATCGGTTGCCTCCATGAACGGCGGAGCTATTCTCGCGTCCACACTACACCTGGCTCCAACGTGGACACGCCCATAGCTCGGGACACTACTAGGTCACGCATGGCATCAGAAGTTTTTATCTCTGTACTCTGAGAGAGTTTTTAGCAATACCAAACAACTCTAACACTCACACGTCATTTGGGGGCTTTGTTGTTGTTATCTCTGGGCCCCGAAAGGCATCTCTAGCAGCGAAAAAAACACGCATGCGCCCTGCTCCCCTCCTGGGCGCAAGCGCCTCACGTCTCGACAGAGCATAAGCTCTTGGTGTGCGACACCGACACACACACACACACACACACACACACACAGGGTTAGGTAGAAAGGTGAACCGGGTAGCGCGCAGGCGTGTGTGCCAGTCCGCGCCAGTCCGCGCCCTTGTCGTGCCAGTGTGCTGTGCCCGGGCGGGAGAATTCTTTTGCGCCGTAATGCGGCCATTTGAGTGATCGTCGGTTCGGGGGTCCCAATGTCATTCGCAGTGAACAACACCTACCGTCAGGCCAAGGCCCCTGCCAGGGACAAGCTCCGTCCGTCGGCCAGGCGCAGCCGCCCTCAGGACTCCTTCGACCCGAACGGAACGCTCGGCTCCTTGTGGTGCGAGCCGGATCCTGGCGCCGTGGCGGCCGCCCGGCTGCCGTCGCCGGCAGTGGATGAGCTGGCCGCGCATCCTGCTCCTGAGGCGGAGGCGCTCGACGCGAGCGCACCGCCGCCGGCCGAGGCTGAGGCAGAGGCGCCAAAGGCGGTGGCGGCGGAGCCGGCGCAGGAGGCGCAGGAGGGCGATCTGGGAGGAGGCAGAGAGGAAGAGGCGGAGGCGGAGCGCGCATTGGAAGACGTGCCGGAGCCGGGCGAGGCGAGCTGCGAGTGTGGTCTGGAGAGCGAGTGCCTCCCGACGGCGGCCGAGGCGCAAGAGGCGCCGGCCGAGCTGGTGGCGGCGGGCGCTCCTGCCGGCTCGTCTCAGCCCGCCAACCTCTTCTCTTGGGAGGGGGCGGCGGCGGCGAGCGGCACCCCTCCGCCCCGGGAGGGTCTTCCGGCGCGCGTGGCCCCGCCCGCGGTGGCGGCGGGGGCGACCCTCCCTTCCTCGCAGCCGGCCAACCTCTTCTCTTGGGAGGGGGCGGCGCCAGGCGAGGCCGCCGGCAAGCCGCCCGCCGCTGGGCGCCGCTCGCTGCCGAGTGTGGCCAAGGTGGCGTCGGTGGCGTCGGTGGCGCGCGCGTACCAAAAGGCGGCGCTGGCGAACGGGACGCGCTCCTCGACCCCGTCCAAGTCCCCCCTCACCGCCGCGTACGAGCGGGCGGTCCAGCAGTCCTCCGCCCCCTCCCCGAGCGGAGGGAGGACGCCGCAGCTGGCGCGCGCGTACGAGAGGGCGGTCGAGCGCGCCGCCAAGCCCGCCGGGGCGACGGCGGTGGCGACGGCCAAGGCCGCCTACGAGCAGGCGGTGCGCGCCGCCGGCGTACCAAAGGCGGCACCGGTGGCCACCACGGCGGAGCTCTTTAGCTGGGCGTCTCCGCCGCAGCCAGACGAGCGGCGGCGCGGCTCTGGCGCGGCGGCGGGCGAGCGCCGAGAGACAGGCGCGGGAGCACCACGCAAAACGCCCGGCCCCGGGCAGAGCAAGCCGCACGGCAGCGAGCCCTCGCAGCCGCCCGCACCGGCCGACAGGGCGCCGCCGCAAGCCGCCCTCTCGGCGGCAGCAGCTGCTCCGCCTCCGGTCACAGTCCCGCCGGCCGACGGAGACGCGCTGTCGGAGGCCGCCCGCTCGCTCCTCTCCCTCTTCCTCGCACCGCTCCACCGCGCACTCGCTCCGCGCGGCGCACCCGTTTCCGCCGCCTCGGCCGCCGCCTCGCTCCGCGGCTTCGGCGCCTCGGCCGGCTCGGTCGAGCTGCTGCTGCCGTGGCTCCTCGCGGCGGCGCACCGGAACGCGCCGCTCGACGAGGAGCTGATCCGGATCATCCGCGCCGGCAGCTCCCTCCCGCCGCCGACCCCGGTGCCGCCGCCCCCGGCTGCCGCGCCTCCGCCGCCAGCTCCGCCCGCCAACGCACCGCGCCCGGCCGAGCTGGCGGCGGCAGCCTTGGCGGCGGCGGCAGCGGCGCTAGCCGCGACCACCTCCCCCCCCCCCCGGGGGTCCGCCGAAATGACGAAACCGCCGGACTCCGCGGCGGCGGCCCCCTCGTCCGCGCCCGCGCCATGCGCTCCGCCGCAGCCGCCGCCGAGCAGCAGCCTGTCGCAGGCGGCGGAGCACGGTGGCGGCGGCGGCGGCGCGGGGCGCGAGGAGGAGTCCCGCGAGGAGGCGGAGGAGGAGTGGTCGAGGCCAGCGGTGGGGTCGGTGGAGGACGAGGCGGAGGGAGGCGGCAGCCTCGTCGCGGGCGGCACGGCGAGCGGTCGGCGGGAAGCCCCGCCCTTGCTGCCGCCGCCAGGGCACGAGGCCTCTCCGGCCGAGCGTCCGGCGGT